AGACCCAGGGGGCATGGTCAAGACAGCTTCCTCAGTCTTAGATTTGGAAAAAAACTTTCACTCAGGGCTGTGGAAAGTTTCAGTGTTAGAGCTCTAGAAGCCAGGCAAGTTCAGGGAGGTGTGATAAGCATTGGATGCACTTGAATTCTAACCTGGTCTCTTGGGAACAAGAATCTACAGGAAAAAATTCTATTCTGTCCAGATAAGTTCCCATGGGAAGATGTGCTCAAGGGTCGGAGTAATAATGGGAAAAGTGTCTAATGAACAAGGATAGGGAACAGATATAGCAAACATAAGGAGTTGTAAATTATCTCCTCTTCTGCAGCCCCTGGGCATCTTCAACCTTGAACTTGAGGAGATACGGTTTTTGCATTTGGATTCCTACATCTGCTGGGGGACCCATGCTTCACACCTTCCTGCTGTCTTGTCTGGAAACAAAGCTTCGGTTTCCATCATCAGCCATCCAGCGGGGGATTCAGACCTCCACATGGAGACCTTCCTCTCAGAGACCCCATTCCGGTGAGTCTCAAAGCTCAGCCGGTATTTCAGGAAAGGTTCAGAGAAAATGGAAGCAGAAAGCTTTTACCTGAGGTCACCTGACAGCCTATCCAGCCAAGCCTGGAGCCAAGTGATCACTGTGTTTGTTGGAGTGGTGAACTCATTCATTTCTAGTCAATTTATTTAATATGTTAAAAAAAGAAATCAGAGAAAGGCAATTATCATATGATCTCACTGATATGAGGAATTTGAGGAAAAAGATAGAGGATCATAGGGGAAGGGAGGGAAGAATCAAACAAAACAAAACCAGAGAGGGAAACAAACCATAAGAGACTCTTAATCTCAGGAAACAAACAGGGTTGCTGTAGGGGAGCGTGTTGGGAGGGATGGGGTGGCTGGGTGATGGATATTGGGGAGGGTATGTGCTATGGTGAGCGCTGTGAATTGTGTAAGACTGATGAATCACAGACCTGTACCTCTGAAACAAATAATACAGTATGTGTTAATAAAAAAAAAAAGAAGTATCTGTGAACTCGGCAATACAAGGATTACTGTAGATAATTAATTGGTGGGAATAAAGTCCAGTTGGATTAGACTAAAGAAGGAATGGGAGGCATTCTCTTAAGGAAAATGTGAACACCTCAAGGAGATTTGCAGTAAGGGGGAATATGAAAATAGACTATTAGGGATGGATGCGGGTGCAGAGCAGTGAGGGCATTTACAAAATACTTTTACTGGGCTTCTAGGTGGCTCAGTCAGTAAGCTTCGGGCTCTTGGTTTTGGCTCAGGTCATGATCTCTGGTTCCAGGGATCAAATCCTGTTCCAGGTCTGTGTTCAGTGGGGGGTCTGTTTGAGATTCTTTTTTTTACCTTTCCCTCTACGCCTCCCCTTGATTGCACTCTCTCTCTCAAATAAATGAATAAATCTTTAAAAAAATAAAAATAAAAAATATTTAGGATGGGGTATATTGGACCAAATTTGTATTCATCAGAAAGATCCAGTCCAATGGAGGGAGGCACTACTTGCAACTGCTGTTCTTGAGACATACATTTCACAGAAGCCTCTCTCACATTAGGTATTCACTTAAAAAGTTTATTTAAAACATAAACAGGCTTATGCGAAAGGGCTTATTTTGCACTCAGTTCATTACCTGGAGGCAGAATATATTCTGGGTTTTACTAGCCATTTACTTTATCTATGGCAAATTATCTGTGCAAGTTCTTTGCTCTATATCCTGGGGTATGAGGATTCTTATTCTTGCTTTTGTTTGTGTGTTGTTCTTGCTGAATCATTTTCTTTTTTTCTTTCATTTTTTTTTATTGCATTCTTTCAACCAAATAATTACAAATGTTGAAGCCAAATTTGCCATTTGTTGTTTAAGTCTTGTATGTATGCACAGATCTATTTGGTAGCTAGTGTGAGAGATTATAAATTCTGAGTGGTCAAATCTATCAGGCAGTCATATGGCTCAAGGAGGAAAACCATGAAATGATTTGCTATGCACCCTGACTGCATATGATGCACTCTGATATTTTCTATTGTGTCTTATTTATTCTACCGTGTTATATTCTTACAAAACCACAGTCTGACCCCACAAATGTTTCCAATCTCAGAATATGGAAAACATTTCTTTCCCATGTCCTCCATTCCTGTGCTAGTTGCTCCCTGCTTCTGTTCTCTCTCTCATCACTGAGCACAGAGTCTCTCATTCCTTCCCGAAAATTTATTTGCTCCTACTGTTCCCGACCAAAATATGTCTGGGGTAAAGGGTAGGAGTCTGTATAATATGCCCCACGGCACTTTCAGTCTAGCAGGGAAATATACATGGAATTAAATAAAAGTTACACAGTGATAATCCCTCCATCCAAATTATTGCAAGAGAAAGTGTCCTTTTTCTGGGGGAACGTTAAAATACAAAACAAAGCAAAAACAAATTCATGAAGGAGATGACTCTTTGCAGTCTGAAAGAGGCGATGGGATTTGAAGATAGGAGGTGAATGATCCCAAATAGATCAGGGCAGCCGGTGTATGGCGGCTCAGCCTGGAGACTGGGGCTTCAGGTGAAGCTACAACTCAGGTTCAATGTTTGTGAGATCGATGTGTGTGAGGCAGCGTGAGTGGGAAGCTGGTGTGGGTCAGGGGAGGCCAGCCAAAAGCTGGAAGCTATGGAATTTGGGGTTCAGTCTCCAGTAGGGAGTCACCTGGAAAGGGTTAAGGTGGAGAGTTGGACAGTAACTTAACTGCAATATAGAAAGAGCATTCTGGGTAAATGTGAATATTGGCTAGAGGGCGCCCCCTGTGGTAGGTGTAGAGATGACAAGGGACTGAAATAAGGCTGTGGAACTGGGGACCCAAGAGGTTGGGAAGCGATGGGGACATTGAAAGAAGAGAAAGTAGCCAGATCTCATCACCAGTGATAAGCATTCATTATCAACAGGTGGGAACTAGGCTAAGGTCTTTTCATATATTCACTAAATCTGTCAACCACTTTAGCAGGATGGACACCTCGAGACCTCCTATTTGGGGGAGGATATTAACATTTAGGACAGTTTGGTTGGCCCTCCAAATTCAAATAGCAAATATACATAGGTCCAAAATTCAAAACCCAAGTTTCTGATTATAAAACTTTTGCATTTTACATCGTTTAGAAAAGTTGTTTTTTTTTTTTTTAGCAAATATTCTTTTAAAATCCCCCACTTTTGTTGTACTCTGTGTATTTCTTTTTGTGAATTGTGGGTGTCTTCCCTTTGCTTGTTATGCTGGTGGGATGTTCAATGGGTCAGATGTCTTGATAACATAAAGACATCCCTACTTTTTCTTTTGGAGAAACTGCTTCTTGCTGCTTTATTATTTTGGGCATCAAGGCGCTGTAACTGGGGTTGGAGTGTTGCCAGAACCAAGGACGTTTGCTCCTCCTCACCATCTCTAGGGGCTACCTGAGCTTATTAGATCTTTCTCCCTATTTTTGTTCCTCAAGGACTTTGGAACTGATTTTTTGTTTAACTACTGGACACAAAATGATCCTATTCAAAGGGAGACCCATGATTACATGCTCATAGGAGACTTGGCTCCTGGAATTTGGATGCCTTTTTACATTTTTTGGGGAAAGACAGTCTGATATCAGCAGCTTGCCTTGTATCCCTGTTTGCTTTATTATTGTGACTGGAGGTGAGAATAGTGATTTTTCAACCAATAAATGAACAAATGGAAAGCGGAATGGTGAAGGGGAGTGGGAGATACAGGCTTCCAGTTAAGGAATGAATGGGTCAGGGAAATAAAAGGCACAGCCCAGGGAATATAGTCAATATTATATAACGTTGTGTGGTGACAGTTAGAAACTCCACAGGTGGTGAGCACGGGGTAATGTTTAAACTTGCTGAATCACTGTGTTGTACACCCAAAACTAATGTAACATTGTGAGTCAACCACACTCAAATTTTTTAAAAATTGATTTTGAAAAAAAGCAAGTCTTTTCTGAGAGCCTTTGCAGGGTTATTCCCTCTGATGGGCACACACTTCCTCAGATAACCTTGTGTCTCCTTCTGTCTCTTCCTGAGGCCTCTGTGTAAATGTGTGCTGGTTTCACTCATGTGGAGTGTAAGAAACAGCACATAGGATCATAGGGGAAGGGAGGGAAAACTGAATGGGAAGTCATCAGAGAGGGAGAAAAACCATGGGAGACTCTTGACTTTAGGAAACAAACAGCGTTGCTGGAGGGGTGGTGGGTGGGGCGATGGGGTAATTGGTGATGGGTATTAAGGAGGGCATGTGTTGTGATGAGCACTGGGTGTTATACGCAACTGATAAATTATTGAACACTACATCTGAAACTAATAAGTTGGCTAATTGAATTTAAATAAAAAAATGTGTGCTGGCCTACCCAAGCAACCAGTAAAAAATAACACCTCCATGCTCTCTTTCCATTTACTGGCTTTTTCTTCATAGTACAGGTCACCTTCTGATATTCTATCTGATCTTTTATCTGATTATCTTCTCCAACACTAAACTGTGCAGACTTGTTTCCTGACACCTATATTCTTTGCCTGGAGGTTAGTCAGTACTCAAGTTTATTCCTCAAACGTGTGACAGAATTTCTCATTAAAAGTATAGAATACATGAGTACTTGGGGGAAAGGCCATGTGTGGGATGCCCATTCCTATTCAGAGCCAGGATGGGGGTTCCTGACAGGGGACAATTTCTATAGAAAACTGTGGATATTGACTTTGTGAATGTAAAATAAAAATAGAATTTCAATGATATTTGTAATGTTCATTATTGAGAAAATTCGTCATGTTATTTTTTGTTTCCTGGTAGTCGCCTCCACCATGTGGAATCAGGAAATGATTCAGGAATTTCAGAGTTTCTTCTTCTGGGATTATCAGAGAAACCGGCATTGCAGCCAGTCATATTTGGGCTTTTCTTCTCCATGTACCTGATCACTGTGTTTGGAAACCTGCTCATCATCCTGGCCGTCAGCTCAGACTCCCATCTCCACACCCCCATGTACTTCTTCCTCGCCAACCTGTCTTTTGTAGACATCTGTTTCACCTTCACCACCGACCCCAAGATGCTGTGGAACATCCAGGCTCAGAGCAAAGTCATCACCTATGCCGGCTGCCTCACGCAGATATACTTTTTCATACTCTTTGCTGGATTCGATGACTTTCTCCTGGCTGTAATGGCCTATGAAAGGTTTGTGGCCATCTGTCACCCCCTGCACTACACGGTTATCATGAAACCTTCCTACTGTGTACTGCTCGTTCTGGTGGTCTGGGTGATGAGTGTCCTGAATTCCTTATTAGAAAGCTTAACGGTGTTGTTGCTGTCCTTTTGTACAGATGTGGAAATCTCCCACTTTTTCTGTGAAATCAATCAGGTGGTCCAACTGGCCTGTTCTGACACCTTTCTTAACGACATGGTGATGTATTTTGCAACTGTGCTGCTGGGTGGTGGTCCCCTCGCTGGGATCCTTTTCTCTTACTCTAAGATAGTTTCCTCCATATGTGGGATCTCATCAGCTCAGGGCAAGTATAAGGCATTTTCCACCTGTGCATCTCATCTCTCTGTTGTCTCCTTATTTTATTTTACTGTCCTGGGAGTGTACCTTAGCTCTGCTGCTCCCCAGAGCTCCCACTCAAGTGCAGTAGCCTCGGTGATGTACATGGTGGTGACGTCCATGCTGAACCCCTTCATCTACAGCCTGAGGAACAGAGACATAAAGAGGGCTCTGAAAAGAATTGTTGGGGTTCCAGTGATGTAAGGGCCCATCGTCCTGGGGCTGAAGAAGGGTCCATGATTGCAAGGCTCACAGCCTCAGAGCCAGGAACTGCTATTTTTTGATCTGACTAGGGAAGTGGAATCTCCACCTTCTATTTATTTCCTGGAATTTCCAATTGTTTGAATTCAACTTTTCCACACATTTAAGTAACTCCCTTTTTAACCTTCTGTTCTATCTGATGTAGACAGTATTCCACTTTGTCCGTTTTCATATGTTCCAATGTTTTCCCCAAATTTCAATTACAAGTGCCTGGAAATTTCTGTAACTTACATGGGAACAGTGTTAGAGTTCACATTCTAATTTCTTCAAACTTTTTTTTCATTTCCTTTTTTTCCCCAGCAACAGCAGATGTACTACAATTTTTATTTTTTTAATTTTATTTTATTATGTTATGTTAGTCACGAGACAATACACCATTAGTCTTTTTTTTTAATTTTATTTATTTATTTGAGAGAGACACAGCGAGAGAGGGAACACAAGCAAGGGGAGTGGGAGAGGGAGAAGCAGGCCTCCCGTGGAGCAGGGAGCCCGATGCGGGGATCGATCCCAGGACCCTGGGATCATCACCTGAGCCGAAGGCAGACACTTAATGACTTAGCCACCCAGGCGCCTCACATCATTAGTTTTTTTTTAATTTTTTATTGTTATGTTAATCACCATATATCACATAATTTGTTTTGGTGTAGTGTTCCATGATTCATTGTTTGTTCATAACACCCAGTGCTCCATGCAGAATGTGCCCTCTTTAATACCCATCACCAGGCTACCCCATCCCCCTACCCTCCTCCCCTCTAGAAACTTCAGTATGTTTTTCAGAGTCCATCATCTCTCCTGGTTCGTCTCCCCCTCTGACTTACTCCCCTTCATTCTTCCTCTCCTGCTATCTTCTTCTATTTTTTTTTCTCAAAATATGTTGCGTTATTTGTTTCAGAAGTACAGATCTATGATTCAACAGTCTTACACAATTTACAGCGCTCACCGTAGCACATATCTTCCCCAATGTCTATCACCCAGCCACCCCATCCCTCCCACCCTCGACCACTCCAGCAACCCTCAGTTTGTTCCTGAGATTAAGAATTCTTCATATCAGTGAGGTCATATGGTACATGTCTTTCTCTGATTGACTTATTTCACTCAGCATAACACCCTCCAGTTCCATCCACGTCTTTGCAAATGGCAAGATCTCATTTCTTTTGATGGCTGCATAATATTCCATTGTGTATATATACCACCTCTTCTTTAGCCATTCATCTGTCGATGGACATCTTGGCTCTTTCCACAGTTTGTCTATTGTGGACATTGCTGCTATAAACATTGGGGTGCACGTACCCCTTCAGGTCCCTACATTTGTATCTTTGGTGTAAATACCCAGTAGTGCCATTGCTGGGTCGAATGGTAGCTCTATTTTCAGCTGAGGTCGAAAAGGTTGCTACCTGTGTTCTCCATTAGGATTTTGATGCACTCCTGTCTCACGTTTAGGTCTTTCAACCATTTGGAGTCTATTTTTGTGTGTGGTGTAAGGAAATGGTCCAGTTTCATTCTTCTGCATGTGGCTGTCCAATTTTCCCAACACCATTTGTTGAAGAGACTGTCTTTTTTCCATTGGACATTCTTTCCTGCTTTGTCAAAGATAAGTTGACCATAGAGTTGAGGGTCCATTTCTGGGCTCTCGATTCTGTTCCATTGATCTATGTGTCTGGTTTGTGCCAGGACCATACTGTCTTTAAGATGACAGCTTTGTAATGGAGCTGGAAGTCCGAAATTGTGATGCCGCCAGCTTTGGTTTTCTTTTTCAATATTCCTCTGGCTATTTGGGGTCTCTTCTGGTTCCATACAAATTTTAGGATTATTTGTTCCATTTCTTTGAAAACTGGATGGTGATGGGGATTGCATTGAATGTGTAGATTGCTCTAGGTAGCATTGACATCTTCACAATGTTGGTTCTCCCAATCCAGGAGCATGGAACGTTTTTCCATTTTTTGTGTCTTCTTCAATTTCTTTCCTGAGGGTTTTATAGTTTTCTGAGTACAGATCCTTTGCCTCTTTGGTTAAATTGATTCCTAGGAATCTTATGGTTTGGGTGCAATTGTAAATGGGATCAACTCCTTAATTTGTCTCTCTTCTGTCTTGTTGTTGGTGTATAGGAATGTCACTGATTTCTGTGCATTGATTTTATATCCTGCTACTTGACTGAATTCCTGTATGAGTTCTAGCAGTTTTGGGGTGGAGTCTTTTGGGTTTTCCACATACACTATCATATCATCTGCAAAGAGTGAGAATTTGACTTCCTCTTTGCCGATTCGGATGCATTTGATTTCTTTTTGTTGTCTGATTGCTGTGGCTAGGATTTCTAATACTATGTTGAATAGCAGTGGTGAGAGTGGACATCCCTGCCGCGTTCCTGACCTTAGGGGAAAAGCTCTCAGCTTTTCCCCATTGAGAATGATATTCTCTGTAGGTTTTTCATAGATGGCTTTTATGATATTGAGGTATGTACCCTCTATCCTTATACTCTGAAGAGTTTCAGTCAAGAAAGATCCTGTACTTTGTTAAATGCTTTTTCTGCATCTATTGAGAGGATCATATGATTCTTGTTCTTTCTTTTGTTAATGTATTGTATCACACTGCTTGATTTGCGGATGTTGAACCATCCTTGCAGCCCAGGTATAAGTCCCACTTGGTCATGGTGAATAATCCTTTTCATGTACTGTTGGATCCTATTGGCTAGTATTTTGGTGAGAATTTTTGCATCCATGTTCATCAAGGATATTGGTCTGTAATTCTCCTTTTTGATGGGGTCTTTGTCTGGTTTGGGGATCAAGGTAATGCTGGCCTCATAAAATGAGTTTGGAAGTTTTCCTTCCATTTCTATTTTTTGGAACAGTTTCAGGAGAAGAGGTATTAATTCTTCTTGAAATGTCTGATAGAATTCCCTGGGTAGCCATCTGGCCCCGGGCTTTTATTTGTTGGGAGATTTTGGTTGACTGCTTCAATTTCTTTAGTGGCTATAGGTCTGTTCAGGTTTTCTATTTCTTCGTGGTTTAGTTTTGGTAGTTGATACATCCCTAGAAATGCACCCATTTCTTCCAGGTTATCTAATTGGCTGGCATAGAGTTGCTCCGAAGATGTTCTTAAATTGTAGATATTTCCTTGGTGTTGGTTGAGATCTCTCCTCTTTCATTCATGATTTTGTTGATTTGGGTCCTTTCTCTTTTCTTTTTGATAAGTCTGGCCAGGGGTTTGTCAATGTTGTTAATTCTTTCCAAGAACCAGCTCCTAGTTTCGTTGATCTGTTCTATGGTTCTTTTGGTTTCTAGTTCCTTGATTTCTGCTCTGATCTTTATAATTTCTCTTCTCCTGCTGGGTTTAGGCTTTATTTGCTCTTCTTTCTCCAGCTCCTTTAGGTGTAGGGTTATGTTGTGTATTTGAGACCTTTCTTGTTTCTTGAGAAAGGCTTGTATTGCTATATACTTTCCATTCAGGACTGCCTTTCCTCTATCCCGAAGATTTTGAACAGTTGCGTTTTCATTTTCATTGGTTTCCATGATTTTTTTAAATTCTTCTTTAATTTCCTGGTTGACCCATTCATTCTTTAGTAGGATGCTCTTTAGCTTCCACGTATTTGAGTTCTTTCTGACTTTCCTCTTGAGATTGAGTTCTAGTTTCAAAGCATTGTGGTCTGAAAATATGCAGGGAATGATCCGAAACTTTTGATACTGTTTGAGATCTGATTTGTGACCTCGGATGTGATCAATTCTGGAGAATGTTCCATGGGCACTACAGAAGAATGTGTATTGCGTTGCTTTGGGATGGAATGTTCTGAATATGTCTCTGAAGTCCATTTGTTCCAGGGTGTCATTTAAAGTCTTTATTTTCTTGTTGATCTCTTGCTGAGATGATCTCTGCATTTCAGTCAGGGGGTTGTTAATGTCCCCCACTATTATTGTATTGTTGTCAAAGTGTTTCTTCGCTTTTGTTATTAATTACCTTATATAATTGGCTGCTCCCCGGTTAGGAGCATAAATATTTACAATGGTTAGATCTTCCTGTTTGTTAGACGATTTAAGGAGGTTATAGTGTCCTTCCTCATCTCTTATTACAGACTTTGTTTTAAAATCTAATTTGTCTGATCTAAGGATTGCCACCCCAGGTTTCTTTTGCTGCCCATTAGCATGGTAAATGGTTTTCCACTCCCTCACTTTCAATCTGGGGGTGTCTTTGGGTCTAGAATGAGTCTCTTGCAGACAGCATATTGATGGGTCTTGTTTTTTTTTAATTTATTTTACTGTTATGTTAATCACCGTATATTACATCTTTAGTTTTTGATGTAGTGTTCCATGATTCATTGTTTGTTCATAATACCCAGTGCTCCATGCAGAATCTACCCTCTTTAATACCCATCACCAGGCTAACCTATCCCCCTACCCTCCTCCCCTCTAGAACCCTCAGTTTGGTTTCAGAATCCATCTTCTCTCCTGGTTCGTCTCCCCCTCTCAATTACTCCCCTTCATTCTGCATCTCCGGTTATCCTCATCTTTTTTTTTTAATTTTTTTGTTATGTTAATCACCATATATTACATAATTTATTTTGGTGTACTGTTCCATGATTCATTGTTTGTTCATAACACCCATTGGTCCATGCAGAATGTGCCCTCTTTAATACCCATCACCAGGCGAACCCATCCCCCTATCCCTCCTCCCCTCCAGAAACCTCAGTTTGTTTTTCAGAGTCCATCATCTCTCCTGGCTCGTCTCCCCCTCTGACTTACTCCCCTTCATTCTTCCTCTCCTGCTATCTTCTTCTTTCTCTTTTTTCTTTAAATATGTTGCGTTATTTGTTTCAGAAGTCCAGATCTGTGATTCAACAGTCTTGCACAATTCACAGTGCTCACCGTAGCACATACCCACCCCAATGTCTAT